ACTATGGGAATTAGCTTCCAGATTAAAAGTCTTAAAATTTTAAGATATTGAAAACAATATTAAATGATATTAGTACTGTAAACGATGATATACAAACTCATTCAGACAAGTACAAAATCTGCATCAAGGATTATCTAAGCTCATTTGCAATAAAACTCCGATAGAATAAAACTACTACCAGAGACAGAAAACGGTCTATTCTACATTAATCTTCAACCAGTAATTAAGACCTTTGCCTAATCACCGTCAGTTGTCAGATTATTTTGTGCTTTTATTTTTATTCATAAAGGTTCACTACTTGCTCTTTGCGGATAGTTGAAATGCTGAAATAATTATTATTTGATAAAAAAAAAATCATATTACACAACTTACCTTGCTCTTATACCCATTTCATTTCCATCGTTAACAGGAGCTCTCGTTTCTCCAAGAACCATTGTTTGCACTCCACAGCTGAATTCGAATTTTAATAGACCTTCTTTCAAATAAACAGTCATATAAGCATCGTCACCAACAGTAGCATGCAATAAAACTCCATCAGGAGCTAAAGTACGGGCCTGTACTTTCACATCGATACTTGGATTTGGGCCGTACAGGACCGAATCGGGCAAACGATGTGTCAAAAACGAAGTACCACCAAAAGCGGCTGTCGCAATATTTATTGGTCTTGAGCAGGTGCTGCCGTGGTATTTAAATGTACAAATGCACTGAAATAAAAGAAATAATTTATATGATAATAATTAATGTAATTGCAAAAGTTAATGCAATTTTAGTCAGAATTGAAACAATTACATGAAAGCGGTCTATATGAGTTGTATTATAATTACCATTAGACTAAAACCGTAATTACGAATATTATAAAGAATTGTAATGAACACCAATATTGGCTAAAGGTAAATAACTGGTACGATATTGAGCTTTTCCACCTATAACTAATGCCATAAAAAAGAAAACTAACAAACGATGAGTAGTTGAATAACAAATAATATTTTTCACATATTACACAAATATAAAAAACATTCAGGAAAAATGTAAGGAAAATTAAATTCGTAGGGTGTTGAGAGGAGCAGATTACACACATAGATGAGATACTTATAAGCTTTTTTTTTATAGCTGGTATAATTTGGAAAAAACTTCAAAATATTTAGCATTTTTAAGAAAACTGTAATCTTTATTCTTATTACTATACGCATGAAATGCATAGATTTAACCTTTACCTTTGCTCCCTCAGAAGTTGTTATACAAGTACCACCATTTTCGCAGAATAAATTTTTGCACTCGTTACCATATACAACCGTTGCTGTAGAAGTCGTCAAATCCAAATATGATGTAAAAGTTGAACTGATAGTTGACGAACTCGTCCAGGGCATTGTTGTGTCTGATTCGGTTGATGTCTGCCCTGGTCTCGCATCGGGTTCATCGGTGAAAAAATGAGATATATCAGTGACATTTAACAACCCTGAAGGAGTAGTGATAGTACTATCAGTTATTTCAGATGAAGTTGAAATAATAGTCGTAGTTTGAGGATCACTTGGCGAGAACGTAATTGTTGTAAATTCCGTCGTATGTTCCGTCGATTTATTAATTACTGACGATTGTGGTGCAAAAGTAGTTGGAAATATTATATTCGTAAAATCTTCCGTTGTGGTAGAAATTTCTTCGATTGTTCTTGGTTCGACAGTATCTTGTGCTTCATTGATTTTGTAGTGATATCAAACATATGGGTAGTGAGCTCTGTGCTAGTGGGTTCCGATGTAAAAGCTATTATTGTGGTTGGTATCTCTGTGGTCGGAATTTCTGTTGTTGTTGATAAAGATGTTGTTTCTATGATCGTAGTAGTTTCAGTTGTCGTAAAAGTTATAATTTCGGTAGTGGTTGTAGTTAAATTTGGCCGAACATAAGAACAATCCAATAAACCATAAGGCAGTTCTAAACATTCGCATAGAAGACCTGTAAATAAAGCCATGTGTGTATTAATAACTATATACTATTAGTTAAATCTGAGTTAAGCTTTGTGTTTAGAAATATAACATCTTTATATTTCTTGAAAGCTATGTTAGTGAGGAAGTACAATAAATATTTCTACGAATTCCCGAAAATCTGATTATGATAATTTCAAAAATATCTGTGGTTTCGCACGCACAATAAAAGCTATATCATTTCTTTTATATTTCCATATTGTATCCACATATAACATATAATTTGCCGAACTCCTTTCAGTCCATTAGCTATGAAATATGTATTTCGAAAAACAAAATAACGAAAAGTGAATAAAGTAAAAATGAATGCATAATAGAAAAAGTTAAAAGTTATAATTTAAAATTAATTTATTTATAAACCATGTTTTTTGAGTAGTTTTATGTTGTATTTGTTCGCAATGATGTTTTGTATTGTTTATTATAGTATTAAACTATTATAATGACCAAAAACGAAATAGAAAACATACTAGCTCCCAAAACGTGATAGATGCATGTCAGTGGCGTAACTATAGGGTGGCGTGGGTGGCAAAATGCCACGGGCCCCCGACCTAAGGGGGCCCCGACCCAGGAAATCGAGATTCGGAAATACCTTATAACATTGTACATAAATTTTATTTCATTTGAAACTTATATTTTTATTTTTTAAGTTTAAAGTCGGAGTTAATTATTCAACCAAACTTGCATCGAACTTACATTCGGCCGAATATTTAGTTAGTTAAAACCAAAGGAGTCGCCGCCTCACAGCGAAAGTATTTTAAGTGTTTTATCTTTTATGCGATAACGAGCTGCGATGGATCTGCATCGGAAAATCTTTAGTTTATATAATATATCAAGAATGAATTAATGAATTTATTATTGTATATATAATAATTTATACTTTATCGAATTTTAAGATAAAAAACAAACACGTGAAGAACTCTTTTCACAGCATCGACAGCAGGCCTTCGCGGGGCCTCGTATCAAAATTTGTTTCGGGGCCCCCTTAAGAGGAAATTTTTTATCACAAAATATAAAAATACATAAAATTAGAAGAATAGTTATTTATCATTCTAATTATTTTTCTATCTAATTTTCTATAATTTTCCGAGCTTTTCATAAATGATCCAGATAAAAATATTCTCCCCTTATTCGAAAAACTGAATTATTAAGTGATCTTTAGATTCTAAAGTTTCTGTCCCTAGGAACAATAGTGACAGGTCTGATAGACATTTATGTCCTAAAGTGTTTACGTATTTTTTCTTAGTTTTAATTTTGAATTTCGCCGTATTAGTGAAGCACATACAAAGTTTTAAAATCTTTTCAAAATATTTTGCAGCAGAAATAAATTCTTTTAAAGCATTAGCTTACAAGTTAAAGTTCAATACCGCTCGATAACTACGTCCAAGTCATTTATTTTTTGTATAAATCGTTAGTTTGCTTTAGATATTTCTTACGCTCGATGGGCCTCCCTGGCCCGTGGCCCTGTTTCAAGCCATTCTGAATCGAATGAGACCAAATTTGTAAAAAGTATATATGTGTTTGTGGGTGCGTGTGTGTGAACAGATTTTTTGAGAAATTTTTGCAGAAAAATGAAAAAATTTCCGTTCAAGTTTTAGTCCGCAAATGTTCGAAAGATATTGGTTGGGAATCGTGCTGATTAGTTTTTGGTAAAGATCGGCCGGGCCGTTTACTTGTAATAAAGTTTAAAAAGAAAAATTACGACGATTTTTTTTTGACGGTCATATTCATAGTTTTGTGGATCATACTAAAAATATTACGGACCTACGACAAGTCGTTTAATTTTAAAAATTCTTCAAAGTTTGCAAGAATTAGTATCGTTCTTTTGGCATTTGTCAAAATTAGACTTTTGATCGACGTTTTCTCAAAAATGCCTGAATCGTTTTCAGAAATGTATAAGCTTTTAGAGAAAACGTGTTCGTTCGTTTTCAATTATGTATAATAAATCCACTTGGAATACTTTTAATTACTCATAAATTAATTTATATTTTATTGATTAAGTCGATTAATTATATATATCGTGACGTTCATGTAACTTGCCGCAAGGCAAAATACCAATACCAACTAGTTAAATCATAAATTGTCATGAAGATCGAACGTCACTACTTAATCAATAAAATAAAGAAAATCAATAAAACAAGAAATTGTTAATGGAAGATTATGTAATAATTAAATTTAAGATTTAAAATTTTGTTTATTAAAAAAATACGTTTTTTAGTTTCCATTTATTCTAACGTTGAATATATTCACTAATATTTCATGTTTGATTTTCAATAAAAATTAAGTTTTGTGTATTTTTTGTTATTTTTATATTATTACAACTAAATTATAATTATACCTCTAAATCAATACTTGACTTTTCTGCCTTTTGTATAATTTTATAATTTAAAGCCATAAAATATAAATTAATCGAAGTTGGTTTGCTAATTGTGATAAAATTCATTAAAAATTGTTTTAGCCAGTAGAAAAACAGCGTGTAAATGACTATTCGCGTTTATTAAACAAAATTAGATAAATTAAAAATTGAGTACCACGATAGGGCCCCATCGAAAGACTTTGCCACGGGCCCCGGAGGGTCTAGTTACGCCACTGATGCATGTACCTACTTATTTCGAAAAAGAAATATTTTTGCATTTTTTGAACTTTCCGTAGTTGGATATATTTTTCGAAACTTAAGTATGAACTAAGTTAGGAATATTGAAATGCAAGTTTATCGTCGTTATTCTTGACCACAAGACTAGACAAGACAATTCATATTCATATGCTTTGCGTTTTTAAAAAACTTGCATCTTAGATGTTGTAGTATATATATACTTCATGATTTTTAATATTTCTTACGATTACGACAAAATTGTTCGGAATGGGATATTGCATATACATTTTTAATTATATCACTACCTAATGATAGATAGTCGAGTGATATCCTAGACAATAATAGAATATAATATATTTATAATGAATGATTAATCAGGTTTGGTGTGAAAATAAGTCACCATTGGTTGTCAAAATGGCGATTTTTGATAAAATCCAAAAATATTATCAAATACCAAGACATTTAGAATGTTTTGATATTTTTGTCGTAACTTCACGATATGTGTAAATAATGAATTGGGGCATAGATATTTAGGTTTAAGTGCTTAAATTCGCATAATGATTAGTTATCTAATAGTAAATAATAATAAAAATCAGAATGCAAGTTTAAAATTATTTTCTCTGAACTCACCAGATATGCCTTGTGGACAGGAGCATGTAAAACCATCTACTCCATCTATGCAGGTCCCTCCATTAATGCACCGAGGACCCAGTTGACATTCGTCATATTTTTGGTCGCATTTTTCGCCATGGTAATCAGGTACACAATAACAACGCGGATATCCGAATTCCATGAGACACAATGATCCATTGGAACATGGATTATCAGAACATTCCAGAACTGGTCGTTCGCAATCGTGTCCCGTGTAACCTATTTAAAATAATGGTCAAAATATTTTCTGCAGGATGATCAAGAAAGTCAAGTAAGTAGCATTGCTTGATGAGATATACTATTTTATTTCGTTAAAAATGTTGAAATTTCAATCTAATGCAATTATATTGTAAATGTTGACTTTGTTTAGTCGTATTCTTTGACTTATTATATAAGACGTTTATGTCATTTATCAAACATGCAAATTATTTAAAATATTTATTTTAACACTTTGGGGACGGCTGTCTGAACATACTCTGTTAGGCACAGACTATTTTATAAACAATGACTCAGTTTGCATCGAAAAGTTGAATAAATTACATATAGCAGTGATAAACTATATTGTATTTTGAAAATAATTTTAAGTTATTTTAGTAGTATTTTCAGCCTTTTTCTTTGCTATATGGTCTTTTTTTAATATTTAAAACGACCGAGGGCTTTTAAATATGGCAAAACGACTGGTAAATTTTGTGATTTAAGCAGTAGTGAAGATGAGTTTCAAATAGACATTCATACAGGCAAATTTTACGAAATTACTATTCGCACCGATGATAGTGATGAATGTGATGATGATATTATCCAACCAAAAAAAAGAAGAAGTTAGATAAAATAAATGAAGAGCGGGAAGACATTAGCGAATGTGCCGATTCTCCTTCAATAATCGAGTTTGACATACATCAACAAACACCCCGACTACAAATACCAAGCAATATAAGACATCCAATAGATTATTTTACCTTATATTTTACAAATGAATTATTAGCCAATATAATAGAAAAATAAACCATTATGGCAGCAAAAAAATTACCAAATATACTGACTAATCAGGATATTCTAAATGCGAGTGAAAGAAAAAGGGATTGTATTGCCTGTTCTAAGAGAAAAGCACCAGGAGGGAGGCATTTTATTGTAAAACATGTCAAAAGCAACCAGCTATGCATTTTGGAAATTGTTTTGACCGTCAACATTCTTTATAAAATGATCAAAAATAAATTATTATTATAAATGTATGTCCTTCAATGACCACAAATTTTTATCAAACAAATTGCATAACTTACACAATGAAATCAAGTTTATAGCCGGTAAAATAGATTGTTTTGAAATCGGTGCCGTCCCGAAAGTGTTAAATTCGAAACCAAAACGCTCATTAAAGCTTATTTAATAAGGAGATTTTTATGTTTTCCTTTACGAATTAAATATTCGTCGAAAAAAAATATTAAGAAATCAATGTCTCGAAGAATTTATATTTGATAATATAATATTACGTATTTATGAAAAATCAAGAAGTTTAATACCATACAATTTAGTTGCCAGATTTTTGGCTGAGTGGAGAGCGATTTAAACTTCAACAACGTGTCAATATAGCATGTCAAGGATATTCAGTACGCACGTATAGGCATATCGAACTAATATATAAACTCACAATTTGGTCACATCACGTAAAATTGTTAGATTGCGCACTTCAAATAGGTTATTTTTGCTTTTTTTCATTTTTTAACTTCCTGAAGAAGTTTATGCAGAAAAGTGAAAAATTGTTTGTCCACGCTTTAGCCCGCAATTCTGAATCGATTTCGAAAATTCAAAAATAATTCGAAAGATATTGGTTGGGAATCTACCTGATTAGTTTTTGGTAAATATCGGCCGGGCCGTTTTCTTGTAGTAAAGTGTTAAAAAATTTTTTCGACGATTTTCATGATTTTTTGATAGATAGATGATTTGATTTTGATTTGATAGATAGATGGCCTTCTAAATCATACCAAAATATTACGGCCCTACAATAAGTCGTTTAATTTTAAAAATTCGTCAAAGTTAGCAAAAATTGGTATCATTTTTTTGGCATTTGTCAAAATTAGAAGTTTCATCCACGTTTGCTCAAAAACGCCTGAACCGAATTCAGAAATTTCAAAACTATTTGATGTATCTCGATCAGAGTTTTCGTTTGTCAGTTTTATGCAACGACCTGCCGAGCCGTTTCTTTGTAATTTGAAAAAAAATTAAACGTTTTGTCCACATTCAAGCTCGTACTACCGAATCGATTTTAAAAAATCCAAAACTGTTCAAAATATATTAGTTGGGAATGAAACTGATTAGTTGAAAATCTACCGAGCCGTTTTCTTGTAAATAGTTGTTAAAAAAATTTAAGCCGATTTTTATGGAACTTTTTTTGGTGATAAATATCATGGTCTTATAGTAATTGGTAATACTGAAGTATTACGGCCTTACGACAAGTAGTTTAAAAATTCATCAAAGTTTGAGAAAATGAGTCGTTTTTTTGACGTTTGTTAAAATTAAAATTAGACAATTTACTTGGTATAACGATGGAGTACTTAGACTTAATGAACATACTAAAAAATTAAAGTTCTACGGAAACTGGTTCAAATTAATGTGTAGTGGTTATCACATCTGTTTTACACGCAGAAGGCCGCCGGTTCGATCCCGGCCAAATATTTAAAACAAATTAAATTGCATTTTTTTAAATATATTGTAGAATTCGATATTCAATTCATTTATTTGATTTGCTTTAGTACGCATATAGTATACTAAATATATTTAGTATACTATATGCTTACCAAAGCAAATTAAATAGAATGAATTGAATATCAAATTCTACAACATATTTAAAAAAAATGCAATTTAATTTGTTTCAAACAAAACTAGAATGTTTTATGAAAAACTTACCAATGTAGCATGCGCAAGCATAATCTGCAAGTTTATCTACACAAACACCTCCATTTTGACAAGGATTAGAAGCGCATTCATCTATTTCCAATTCGCAAAGACTTCCTTGCCATCCTAAAATAAAAATTTATAATAAAGAATCAAACTGACTTTCAAAATACATAAAACTCAAAAGTAATTGAAAGTTCATCAACCTTCAATGGCAAATTCATAGTTCAGGTATTATTATATGCCAATTTTCTTAAGTTAACTATTTTAAATAATTATGAGTGTTATTTCATTTTGATTCTAAATTACTATTTTATTACAAAACATTTGTGAAACATAATGTGATTGATACCTGGTTGACAATCGCAATAAAATTCTAATCCTGGACCTTCAACACATTTTCCTCCATTGCGACATCTTGCAGAGCCTGTAGCATTACAAACGGCCACATCTTGTTCGCAACGGGTTCCCAAAAATCCAGGGCCGCATTGACATCGGTAACCATTTGCAAAATCCCAGCAAGTCCCATTATTTAAGCAAGGATTCGATAAACATTCGTCAATGTTTACGGAACAGTCATCACCTGGCATTGGATATTTTACGATTTTATTTAGTTATAAGAAAGAGAAACTACGGGAAGTTAATTAAAAACTAGTTGATTTGCAAGATTGCAAGTTACATGAACTTCCCAATATGTGTAAATAATCGACTAAATCCATGATAAATAAATTAATTTATGTGTGATTAAAAGTATTCAGAGTGGACATAACTCGGAGTATTTTCCAAAAGCAAATTTTCCCAAATCAATAATTTTTATAATTGAACTAGTTTCCGAAGGACTTTAATGGTATAGTAATTAAGACTGAGTGCTCTATCGTTAAACCAAGTAAATCGTCTAATTTTTTTTAACAAACGTCAGAAAAACTACTCATTTTCTCAAACTTCGATGAATTTTTTAAATTAAACTACTAGTCATAAGCCCGTAATATTTCTGTAAGTTCTATAAGATCATGATATATATCGCCAAAAAAGTTCCATAAAAATCGGCTTAATTTTGTTTCAACGGTTAATTACAAGAAAATGGGTCGGTAGATTTTCACCTAAAACTAATCAGTATCATTCCAAATTAATATCTTTCGAACAGTTTTGGTTTTTTTAAAATCGATTCGGTAGTATGAGCTTAAATGTGGACGAAAAGTTTAACACTTCTTCCCAAGTTACAAAAAAACGGCAGATCGGCATTGAGATACATCAAATGGTTTTCAAATTTCTGAAATCGGTTCAAGCGCTTTGGAGCAAACGTCGATCAAAAATCTATTTTTGACAAATGCCAAAAAACGATTCTAATTTTTGCAAACTTTGACGAATTTTTAAAGTTAAACGAGTTGTCGTAGGGCCGTAATATTTCAGTATTCGTCAAAAAAAAATTCATACAAATCGTCGAAAAAAATTTTTTTAACACTTTAATACAAGAAAACGGCCCGGCCGATCTGTACCAAAAACTAATTAGCACGATTCCCAACCAATTTAAGTGAAAATAAATACATCATATAACAATTTTGAATGATGTTTACTAGTAATATGATAATACTCGTGATGCACACATTTATTAATATGTCAACCATTATAGTTTGGGCGTATCGGACTTCCGTTGCATTTGTACGGATTTACACCTAGGTCGCGCGTAAAGAAGTTTTACTTCAAAAAAACTAATTTTTAATAGTACCGAAAATGTTCGATAACTTCAGTCCCATGATAAAAACTTTTTGAATTAATAAATGTAAAATTTTGACTTTCATTGTTACACTCGTTTGTAAATTTACATGTTTTTAAATTAAAATTATAAGTTTTGAATTGAGACCTGTGAATCCATCGGGGCACGAGCAATTGTATTGAGCAACTCCGTCGATACACGTACCACCATTTTTGCATGGTGAAGACCAACACTCATCCCAATTGGTTTGGCACTGCACTCCCGTATATCCATCGATGCAGAAACAAGCATACGTACTGCAAATGATAATAAAATACTTGTTTTTAAAATTTTTTGAATGATGAAAAACCTTTTGTGTAGGCGTAGAAATTTTTTTTTTATTTTTTTATTTATTTATTGTTTGAACAGCAATCAGAACTCCTATATGTTCTATAAGCTGTTGGTTAACGACTTAATACTACTTTATTTCATGAGAGGCAATCCATCGATTAACCATTCTCTTATGTGTGGGATATTTTTGATATTAGCTCTTACGTCTAATAGTTGCATATGATTGGATGTTGCAGCTATGTCCACGAAGGACGATTTCCACTTGGAATTATATTGTGGTCTATAATCCCAAGTGGAAATTTGACATCAAAGCTGCCTGATGTCGGGCTACGGCGGTAGCGGGAATCAATCCAGCGAACCTGGAACTAGTTGGTGCTAGCCCACGCGTAGAAAAATGATTTTCTAAAAAAAAAATTTCTAAAAACCTTGCAAAATTAATGAAGATGCAAATTATTTGCAACAATAAAATTATTGAAATATTTCATATATTATATAATTTTTACTCTTCTCAAAATATCTATTTCAATTAAAAATTTATTTGTTTGCAACTGTGAATGCAGTTGTTATTATATCCTGACTTATTTATAATAACATAAATACCAAACTGTATAAAAGACAGTAGTGCAATTATGCTATTTATTATGCAATTTATTTTCGTTGATTAATTGGTATAAGAAAGTTTCGAACAATGAAAATTAATATAAGGTTTTCAATGATAAATATTAAAAAAATATGCTATAAAAATTTTAAGTTTTATTTAAATAATTATTTATGATTTGATAAAATTTGAATAATTCATTTGAATAATTACTTATGATTTGCAATAAAACTATGATACAACCAAAATTTATATCACATGTAACTACTTTAATGATTTTTAAATACATTTGTCTATTATGAATTTTATCACTGACCTGTTTAAATCATCTAGACAAACTCCGAATAAACATGGATTGCTAAGACAAGCAAATCCAGCCCTTGTTCCAGGAGCCCAATACAAACATGATATTGCAATTACTAGGGCCGCAATAGGTACCGCGCTACCGGGCGCCCGCATCTTTTGAACTATTGAACCGCATTACCCGCACTGAAAAAAATAGTAAAACAAACTGATTACTAAAAAACTAAACTTGTAATAGAAGTACATTATAGTATTTTTTTTTAATTCTTTGAATCGCAATAAAAACTATTCTCAGTGTTCTATTGTGATATTTTTTCCTGCGTTCTAGCCTTATTCGAAGGTAACTCAATTTGTTTGTTGTTTGGGTTTGTTTCTCATCGCGCTAAATTGTTTTTACAGTTTTCAGCGAGATGTGATCTCCGGGAAAGCTATTTTCACATGTAAAAAGTTTTGTGTCTACTTCTTTAAAACCGGATTACTGTCGTTTGATATCAGGTTGTAGGTAGCGAGAGATTTGAACTTGACATCTTGTGGAGTCACTTACGACGAATGCTTCATAACACAATGAACTTATATTTTTTTATTAATTAAATTATTATTAAAATTAAATATTATTAAAATAAATAGACACATACTTTACTCAATTTTAACTACAATTTTCTATTAAAATGCATACTTTTATGACTTTCTTGTATTAAAATCCTATTTTACAAACTTTATTACTGTAATGCAATGCAATAATCATACAGGGTAGAGCGGGGATCAAAGGCCCGCGGGTATAAAGGTTCACTCACGATATCTCAAAAAACTGTAAAGTTAAGAATTTTTTAACAATATTTGAAATTAGACGAAGAAAGATGTATAACCCGTCATCGCCTTGATTTTTACGACGATGCTATCGGGAGGAAAACGTTAATGTATAGAAATCCATAACAAAAGTATTTTCCTTCGTTGTTATTTGTTTTGGTTGCGACCACTGTTGCTTTTGGACGAGACCTTAATATAATACCCAAGTATATGTTTTTTAATTGTTTTATAAGTTGTATTGTTGATTTTTAGTAAGATTCAACAACGTTTTTATACAATCTCTATAAAACTTTGAACCTGGTTGGGGTAACATAGACCAATTGTACATTTACCCTGGTCAAGGTAATTTACTGTGTTATCTCTGTAAAAAAAAATTCGCCCATGACGTTTATACTTTGCATTGATTGAACAATGTAGTTATTATTTTGTAAAAATCCTTTAAAATTAAAATAAAACATTGGACCTATTTGTCTTCTGGCCGTCACAATTTTTCCGCATATGGGGTAAAATGGACCAGGTTACAAATTAAAAAAAACACGAAACACATTTCTTTCACGAATTTTTACTGAGCATAGTCAGATAGTTATTTGTTTAATATGTATTATTTGTTGTGATTAATTGATTTGCTTGTAAACAATACAATTGCTCAAAGTCAAATTGGGACTTTGTGCCGGGCCCTACCGTAATAAATTACAGAAAAAATCATTTTTTGTATTTAAGAAAAATCGAAACTAATAGTAAAGTTAAATACCTTCAGTACGATTCTTCTTAACATTTCACAGAAAATATGTGTTTGGGAAAAAATGAATCAATTTTTGTTTTCATTCTGACCAATTGGAATTTCTCTACTTATTTGAATCAAGTGTTATCAGGATATTTGTGTATATAAACTAAAAGCAAATTGGACCATATTATTATTACATGTATATATATATATATATATATATATATATATCAAATAAATGCAATAATATTGAATGCATGAGCGATTCGTAACGAGCTATGAAACCAATTACTTATGGTTATGTTCAGCTATAACCGTAAACTTGGAATGTCCAGCAAACTGTAACAGCATTAGCATCATATCCGGATTTAAAAATTTATCTATAGAGTGATACTTGTATTTCATACTTTTTTAATTTTATCGTACAGCAAGTAACGGATGATTTAAGCTAGCAGAAATGAGCCATATCATATCAGCGAATAAATGAGATTTGACAATGTAACAATGGTAGATTGAAGTTTTGGTTTTACTTTTCATAAGTCATTTGCTAGATTCAATACCGACCTCGAACAACTTGATATCAAGAAGTGGTGTTTTAACTTAAAAATATAAATTTAATGTATACTGTGAAAACAGCCCTTATCGTCCATTGCTGCATCGAAATAAAAATTCTGTATTAATATTAGAAAATTTAAATTGGGTTGTCTTCTAAAATATCTACATAGTTTTTAAGTATTAACATAACAGCTCATGAGACTCTTAAGTTCCTATTGTTGCTGAAATAAAGTAAACATATATGATATTATATAAATCTAATGAATGAATGATGTATGGAACTTATTTTTCAATTTGTTAACCAATATACCAATACAGTGAAAATAGCCCTAATACCGTGAAAATAGCCCTAATCCGGTATTACTGCATCCCAGGGCATATATGCGGTGAAGTATACTTCACCCTGTTGCAGAAATTGTACTAATAATTTATAATAATTCATCTTATAGCACAACAGCTTATAGGACTCGTAGTTCCGATTTGCTGTTCAAAATAATAAAAAAATATAAAAATAAAATTGCTTATTTATTCTTTAATATTAATATAAAATTTATCATTTAACTTGAAAACGTTAAATATAATTAATATAAAACTACAAAATGAAATTTTCTTGTTTTTAGTATTCGCTCTCAAAATCATTTTTCTCTCAGAACGCGTTTGATAAAATTAAATCCAACTCTACCACTATTTGCAAATTTTACTGCGATTATCACACCTTTAGATGCCGTCTTAACCAAGGACGTCTGATCGTCAGAAAGTGATTTTCTGTCCTCTAGCTCTCAATCTTGAACTAGAAAGAACAACTTGACACAGTGACGAGGCATGCAGATAATTATTATATTTTTTACTATTTTAAACTTTCAGAAGGAGAAGTTTATGATTTTGTCAGAAAATCTGCTCTTTTGATATTTTTCTAACGTTTCAAGCCATTCTGAATCTATATCAGAATTGGAAACTGTATTCGTGTGTGAGTCGATTTTCGACCTTTCTGATTTAACAAAAGAGCCGTGCCAAAAATTGCAAAAAAAGTGTGTAACTTTTCGTACACGTTTTTGCAAAAAAATCTTGAAATAAATTTGACAATTTGTATGAAGAACAAATGTTGAACAATTTTGTTTTACGTTTTTAAAGAAATTTAACGTGGCGATGGTCCATATGAATATCCTAAATTATCATAGTCCAGCGAAAAGTCGTTGAATTATAAAAAAGTATTGAGGTTTGGAATAATGGGCCAAACATGTATTTGTGCGATGTAAATAATATAACTAGTGGTGCATGGCATTATGCCTTAAAGCAAATTGCTGAAACTTTTCGTACCGTAATGAAATATTCGATGCATATTAAATTTCTTCAAATAGATTATTATAAATACTGTAACTCAGTCTGCATCGAGCATTCGTGCGATACACATCGGTAAATAAAATTATATAATCTGATAAGAGCGAGTAAGTCAGTAAGTGAACAATGGAGTCCGGCCAGTACGGCCAGGAGAGTGACGACGATGACAGTGGTCATCATGATTTTGAGGATTGTGAACTGAATCCAGTTGATAACAGAATTACGTCAATAGAAGAGTTTGAATACGAAATGGATGACATTAGTGATTATGAAATAAATGATTTGGATAATAATATTAATGAAACAAAAGTTAGTGAAATTAATTTAGTGAAAAATTGTGAATATAAAAAAAGTAATAAGAAAAGTATTAAAAAGGGAGTAATAGATTTTAGAAAGAAAAGAAGATTGTTAAGTAATAAAATATTTGATAAGAATCGCGAAAAGTTAAGTGTGATAAGGAAAAAAGGTGAAATTGAAGTACAAGTTAACAAAACACGTTTAGAGAAAACTAATAATGATGGAATTAATGAAAACGATGTAAATATCGATTGGGCAAGTGAAGTAAATGAAGAAATGGATAGTAACTTAAATAAAAAAACTTATGAAGAGGAGTTTTTCTATTATGATGAAAGGAGCGAAGGTCCATTTGTTATATATGCAGAATCAAAAGATAAAAATTTAGGTAGACTACATCCAATGGCGTTAGGAAGAATTTTACATACAAAAGTGTCAAGTGTTAGTAATAAGATAAGTAATGTTGTAGCTATAGGTATAAATAAAATAAAGATATGTTTTAATGATTGGAAGAGTGCTAATACAGTGGTAAAACAGAAATTACTGGACGAGTATAATATTAAAACTTATATTCCGAAGCATAAAACTACGAGAATTGGTATTATATTTAATGTAGACCCAGAGATTGAAGAAGATGAAATCATGAGTTGCATTAAAACGGATGTTGAAATTATTAAAGTGAAGTGTATTAAAAATAAAAAGGCATATAACAGCAGTTATAAAACACAAAGAGTAAAGATTTGGTTCAGGGGCAGCTATCTTCCAGAAAATGTATTTATTCATTCAGTGGCTTGCGAGGTTCAACCTTTTATTGAAAATGTTATACAGTGCCACAAATGCTGGAGGTTCGGCCATTTTAGGATTCAGTGCCAGGGCAGGCAAAGATGCAGAAAATGCTCGGATGAACATGATGTAAAAGAATGTGTGAGTCAATTAGAAATATGTGCTTTATGTCGAAATAATCATCAAGCGAATGATAGAAATTGTCAAACGTATTTATATAATAAAAAATTGAAGGAGCTGAAAGCATATCAGAATATTTCTATAAGTGAAGCTAAGCAAATACTGCGTAAGAGAACATATGCAGATATAGTACAGACCAAATTTTATAACAGAGATTATCAAAATGTATTTCCTTCATTAATTAAACAGTCAGAGAATCAATTAAACAGATTTAATAATAACAAGTTTGAAATGTTAAATCATATAAAAGAAAAAGAAATAGAAATTAATGAAGAAAATATATTGAAAATTAGAAAACCTAAGCGCACGACATTTAGAATTGAAGGAGGACAAAAAAGAATAAATTCGGAAGAATACAAGGAAAGGAGAAAGGAATTAACGAAATATAATAGTGAAGAAAATAACCCAAATAAAAATGAAGATGAGAAAGAAAAAAAAAAGAAGATGAAGCAACAATTCAAAGAAATTTTTAACA